AAGTCTCGTCTCCAGAACTTGTAGACGATCTATTTCTGCGTTTTCTGATAAGGTTAGACAATTTTTCGGCTATGAAAAGCTTTTGGAAGGCGGACGGCTTTTAGCGTGCTCCTACTCCGCCATCACTCGGCCCAATATCCTGTTTTTATCTGTTTCCCTGCGCACGTTCACGGAAAGTGATTTTATCTCTTTCCGTGAACGTGCGCAACTGATCCAGGCTTTGTTCGAAGGAAAGCAGCTCTTCATAGGATATTTGGCCATCACCGTGTTGATACACCTTACACGGTTTCAGCCGTCTGCGAAGTAACTGCACAGGTCGTCGGAGCATCTTGGCAGCCGTGGGTTTATCTTTAGTAATCGCATTCTTAGGCGAATCACCTTCGCGCCATATTGATCCAATTCTGTGCATGCCAGAATAAACGTGTGTTTCTTCCTGACTTTGTTTAGGACCCTTCCATCTTTCAAGAGAGCAAGTTCCTTGCTTTGTAGCGGCTTGTAATGGTGGGAATTCTTTTCGATTGCTACGCAACATTTGTAGGACTCGTTTTTTCTGTTCGTTCTCGCGAAGAGATAAATGCGTTTGACTTTTCATATTTGGACGACTATCAAGACGAGGAAGCTTTAAAAATTGCCATCTTCACTGTTCAGTGATTTGAGCAATGTTGCATAAAAAGAGCCGCATTTCGCCTGTTGTTGTGTGCCATTCGCAAGACCATCGACAAAATCTACGAAATTTATTCAAAGGGTTGCAAGGAAGGCCCGTCCACAGTTACGAAAACTGCGAAAATTACCAAATTTACGAAAACTGCGAAATTTACTGAAATTCGAAGACCACCGACAAAATCTACGAGCTTTTTTTTTTTTTAGCGAGGGGTTGGAAATTAATTTTGTTTGATTTGCAAGCAGTGGTGAAGTGGTACTGTACACCAAGCAAAGAGTCGAAATATAGTTGTTTCGAAGACGGCGAGTTTAACTACCTCAAATCAGGAACCTTTCTAATAATCACGTGAACAGCAAGCTTCAGTGGCGGAAAGCGTTTTAGCCTTGACAGATCGAAACTACGAGGAAGATTCCTGAAGAACTCTCCTTTATCATAGTTTTCGTCGTAGCTAAGTCGATAGAGTTACAGTGATCTATATTAATGACGTATACTCATTGTGGAACCTCAGTAAAAGAGATGTCGAACACTTCATCGAACAAGCTAACTCAAGTTACCCTACAATTAAATTCGCTGCAGAAATCTCAGACACCGGAGCTATATTTCTGGACACGGTAAAATAAAAGGACGAAACATTCAATCAACAGTCAATCCTTGACATAAAAACTCATTTCAAGCCAACGGAGACTTTTCAGTATACCTATTAAACTTCGCGTCACCCGCCACTGAAGTGTTAACATAGGATTCGTGAAGGGTGAAGCCCTAAGACTCCCAAGAACAAATTCCTCAAGACCTTCCTTTGAGGAAAACAAGTCAAATTTTAAAACACGCTTTCTGGCAAGAGGTTATCCACACAATCTGATAAAGTGCTATCAGAAATAAAATTCACGGAAAGGTCTTTAGCGCTTAAACAGGGAAATAAACCTCGCAAAAACATTTTGTCTTTTGTTATCAAATACGAGCCTTCAGCGCCAAAGATCAAACAAGCTTCGATGGAAAATTGACATATAATACAGAACCAAAGCTATTCATGGCTTAGTTACTGGCATGAAAATGTCCAGTTTACTGTAATACTGCCCCTACCCCGTCAATACTTTATCGCGCTGTGGCAGACAGCCGTAACGAGCCTTGCTTACTTTCAAAGCTTCAAAGCGTCGTGCTTACTGGTGGGCTCCAGGGTTACGCACAAAGGTAAATAAAGCATTATTAAAACCAGAAACATCCCTCTCCACCCTTGCAAAAAAAGAAGTTAGACAAACGAATAAAGAGTGGGAACATGACTTACATCTCCCCATTTTTTCATGTCGTTTCTGTTTTACCTTCTATTTGACGTAAGGAGTGACTGCTTATTATTTTATGATCCAAAACCTTTCAAAAGATCTGACAGTCCTCGTCCGTCTGTTACTTAATACACCGAATGCAAATATGGCGGACCCAGGGGCGGGGGAGAACACTCTGCGACGCCTGGCACTTTTTGTGTATCTGAATCATCCAACAAAAA